TATATATATAATTTGAAAATTTTTTGTTTTCATTTGGCAAGTGCTATCATTCTTCCTAAACCAAGCAGTCTTAACGATTCTGAGTTTTTTGAATTAATAATGCTTTATTTTATTCAACCTGAATAATTTATTAGCTTATAATTAAAGATAAGGTTTAATAATTGTTTCTACGTTAATTTATATTAAGAAAATGTAGAGAATAGAATAGCATCCTTGTTGTATATTTTCTTACTTATTTTACTGGGTCATGCCAAAATGTTTTCCAACTTGATGACTTAACTCAGCCTACCGAACAATTAAATAATTACTTATTATTATTATTATTATTATTATTATTATTATTATTATTATTATTATATAAATCACTAGATCAGTATAAATCATCCATATTATTTAATTTAATTTTATTTTACCTATTGTCATTTTTATTTGTTAGTTGTGAGATTAAACTCTCCCATTAAAATTCAATTTTTCATAACATGAATATCCAAAAATAGCAAAAAATAAAATAAAAAACCAATTAAAAAATGATGATAATAGAAAGTAAAATAATAAAAGCTGCCCCAGACTCATAAGTTGATGAAACATTCACGAGTCAAAATAAGTGATTTAACAGAAAAAGAAATGGTAGAAAAAGATGACTTATTGCTGCGTATTTGTTACGTGAAGCCTTTAACACATTATCTTCACCAAATATGCATATGTCGATACCTTATATTATTTATTTATTTATTTATCCGAATATTTGTGTCTGTGTGTGTTCCGCATACATCGGTTTTTTGGTTGACATTCACGGTAAAAGACCCCTCAAGCACGGGGTTCAAATCCCCTCCAGCACAGTAGGCCTTAAGGAGGTGGTACTCGAATTATTACGTACATTAGGGATAGTTGAAGTCTCCTATAATAACCTCTAGTCATTTCTTTATATAGCACAATACTTGCAGAGCAGTTATAACTGAATAACAATTAACACAATAGATTATAAGATATTTAGTACAACAGCACAATATGTGTAATAGCGCAATTAATTCAAGAAATATAATATGATTTTAATGCTACAAGAGTGTATGTAAAGATCTATAACACAATGATCATAATACAACAAAATATAATTTAAGAATATAAAACAAAAGACCTGATAGAAATGATTGCAATTATGAGAAACAAAATACATTAGATTAATAAATATTTTTTGAATATTCATATGAATCTTCATTTTGTAATGATCCATATCAAATTAAATGTGGTGATGTAAAACGTCTAAAAGACTTTTCTTTGAAATCCAATACATGATTATCATATTACAGACTCTTTCAATGCTACAAATAAGAAAAAGTTCTTTAGATCATAGATGCAAAAAAAACGGCTTAATTATTTTACATTATTTTTTAAATTTTTTTGAATGGCATGTCTTAATGATAGCCTTAAAAGTAGCACATATGATGCCCCCTTCTACTTTTAAAAAGATTTCAAAGAGATAAATTATTGTCTGATATCAAATAACCCTAATAGATTCATGTAATAATTTTTTCAACAAAAAATTTATGGTGGTTGTCGACTACCAACACATCCTTCCACTTTTCATATATGGGGCATTAAACCCGGCAATGGCCGACACCATTTAGTGGAATAAAGGCTTGTTATTGTTGTTGTTATCATAATAACCCTAATGGCTCAAAGAATAAAAAAAGAAGCACTTGCGTGATTGAATCAAAAGAAACACTTGTGCAATGGGAGCGATTATTGTGTACGGACAACGCATGTAAATTTGTGTGCGGTGTCCGATCAGGACCACTAAAATACATTTTTTTATTTTTTTTATTGTTAGAATTGAGCCCACTCTAATTTTTTTCACGGCCCTGATCGTTCATGCAAATTTTTGCGTGCGGACACAGTGTCCGTACGCAATAATTTTTCGTACAATGGAGTCATCATTGAGATTTAAGAAGGGTTACAATCATATAGAAAATGAGATATTATAGATTATCCAACTAATTTTATTCCAATTTATTGAAAAATATTCAGATTATGTATATATAAGCTTCTCATCCTCTTCAATGATATACATTAAGATATATGTTCAGTTGAGACTTCCTTCCGAACACAGTTAAAATCATTGACTCAAACATGCATGAATTCAAGACTTTCTAAGACCATATGAATATCATCAATCAAATGCAAAACAAAAAAAAAACACACACACACACACACACACACACACACACACAATAAATTACTCCAACTGTAAAAAAAGAATTTTTTTTAAAAGAATGGAGATATTAAATATCTTAGAACTAATTATATTGGTTCATGAATAATTATGTGGAAAGCAAAACAAACACAATTTCCAAATCCAGATTATAAGAGCCAACTTGGATCCAAAAAATAAAATTAAGGCCAAGAATGCCCTAATTCTGCATAGCAAATATTATTTACACTCCATACATACAATAGAGCACAGCCTAACAATTTATACACAGTAGTTTCTCTATTCTCTACAGGTACTTTGCTATGGAGGACAAATGGACAAAAGCCTTTCTGATTATAGTTTCAGTAAGCAAAAGACATAATATGCACAAAAAATACAGAAGGGCAGAATTCTGCCATCCAATTTGTTCTTTATTGCTCAATGAAATATACATTTGAAGGTACAAAAATCATTAGTGAAAAGTGTCAAAGTAGAAAAGGCTTGAAGGTGAGTTTTCATAATATTGTGATTTGGAGTTGGATTCACGAGTACGAAAAATCAAAGAAAACATTTTGTAAGGAAGGGATAGAGCATAAGAAAATTTATTTTCAAACCTTATTTGGGGTAAGTTACAGCCCTTTTTTTGCCTCCATGATTAATTGTGGATCAACTTTATTCAAACTGCAAGAAAAAAAAAAGAAACTCAATTAGTAAATCACTTAAAAGTGGACTAAAATCTCGTGGATATAGAAAGAAAAAAAAAACATTTTTATAACACGTTTAAAACTCCCATTTAGCATTTTGAGAAAGTAAATTCCTATGCACAGCAATACTCAGCTATGTACTCACAATTATTTTGCAAGCTTTATTTGAACAAAGTTGAAGACAGTTGCGCTCAATTAGCAGTCAGAGATATCAGCTTTTCTTCTTTATTTTATTGTTCACGTATAAGCTAACCTATAGCTGCTGGTTAGTTGATAGAGAATCTGCTTAATTAGAAGTTTGTGTTTTATTAAAATAATTGTATGACAAACTTCAGTGAAGTGTTTTAATAGGTTCGGTCACTTTCTTTAACCAGCTTAACTAAACGGATTTGCGTAATTGTTATTTTTGTTGAATGAGAGGTTCAAACGCATTGACTCAGATAACTGATCAAAGCCCAATCAATGGTTAAACTCAGTGGAAAAATAGCTAATCCAATGTTGAACACATGAGCATCATTTAGTTCTTAGTAATAAAAAATTGGATGAAAGTTTTGATTATATCAGCTCATATCACTGTAGCATGGCTCCCCAAAACAGGAACGGTACCAGTGCTGGACACAGACACGGTTTTGACACAAGATGATAATTGTTTGATAAGCTATTAGCCGTTTTGAAACTCTCCATTGATTTGACACGGTTTGGTAACCGCTCGGAAACAGAAGCTTAAATTCGAGCAACATTAAAGCAAAAGCAGAATTGGCAACTCAAAATCGAAGTTGTGGTGTTCTCGAGCCATTCTCGGCATGCATGGCCCTCGCCAACGCCTGGCCATAGTTCTCAACAACCTTGATCGAATCAAGTGGCCCTAATTGAAACAAGCCATTGTGGAGTAGCCCTGAACAAATCAAGTGGCCCTAATTGAAGCAAGTCGTTGTGGAGTAACCCTGATCGAAGTGAGCAAGTCATCGAGCAGTCCAAATCAAAGTGAACGATTCTTCGCCGCAATACAGAGCATCTCCAACGCGATCCAGAGCATTGTTTTGTTTGTTCCAAGCGTTCCCAGGTTTAGGGAATTGTTTGTCTGTTGAATGTGAAGTTCAAATGCATCAATTTAGGTAACTGATAAAGCCCAATCAATGCTTAAACTCATGGAAAAATAGCTAATCCAATGTTGAACAATTGAGCTTGATTTAGATCTTAGGAATCCAAATTTGAATGAAAGTTTTGATTATATCAGCTCATATCACTGAAGCATGGACACCCGAAAACAGGCGTGGTGGTACCCATGTTGGACACAGACAAAACTTCAATACAGGATGATAAGTGTCTGACATGCTATTAATTGTATTGAAACTCTCCAATGAGTTTGACACAGTTTGGACACCACTCGAGCAAGGGACATGGGAGCTTAAATTCAAGCAACGTTAATGCAAAAGCTGCATTGGCAACTAGAAATAGATGTTGTGGTTTTCTCGAGTAGTTCTCGGTATGGCATAGCCCTTGACATTGCCTAGCCATCGACCTCAGCAACCATGATCGAAACAAGAAACCCTATTTGAAGCAAGTCGTTGTGGAGCAGCCCTGATTGAAAAGAGCCAGTCATCGAGCAGCCTAGATCAAAGCGAGTCTTTGACGCAATTCAAAGCATCTTCGACGCAATCTAAAGCATTATTTTGTTTGTTCCAAGAATTCCCAGCTTTCCCAGCTATAGGGCTTAGCAACCAAACCTTTGTTCGGGTAAATAAACAGAAATATGTATTTATATATTTTGATGGTTTGTTTCTGTATTTTTTTTTAGTTTGTTTGTGTGGGATTTTCACTTGGAAGTATTCACTTGTGCGTGTTTGCATTTGATATGTATTTTCATCAACTTTTACGTTCATTTTTTTCTTAAAATTATCTTGTAAGATATATAAAAAGTAAAATTCAGGTGTTAGATATATAAATACATAGGAATTGAGTTGTATGTACCTTTTTTAAAATACTAAAAATAGAAAAAATATCGTCTGTTTTTAAACACCAAAATAACCCTTCGCTATCGTCTGCCGCCAGTCACAAGCCCCCTAGCAACAAGGCCCAGTCAGCCATCGGCCAGTCACAAGCCCCCTCCAGTCGTCACGCGTCGCAAACGCCGACACCCGCCAGTCGCCCTTGCCAGTCGTCGCCACCGTCCGCCGGCTCTCACCAACCACAGCAGCCGGCCGGAGCCCATCGACTCCCTCTCAAACACATGAAATGTTTTTTATTGGGTGGATGGAGGGCACATGGACCAACCGTTTCATAAAAAAGTATAGTTTTTTATTTATAAAAAATAAAAATACCCAACAAAACATGTTTTATATTTTTTTTATTTTTATAAACATACAAATCGTAACAATACCAAACGAATTTTCTAAACATAGAAAATAAAAAACAAAATAGACTAGAAATAAAAATAAAAATAGAGAGTGGTCTCAATCAGACCCTAAATAACATCATTCCTTTGACAATCAAATGAAGTTCATGGATCTTACAAAGTCTCATAAGTGCCCCACAAAAATGGCTAAAACAGAAATCATCCAATTTTAAGCACAATATACCCGATAATTAAAAGTTTTGTAAGTGTTGAAGTAACACGCCGTAAGCGTACTAATAAATAACTATTGAAAAATGGATAGTAAATAATTTAGAAGGAATGAATACTAAAAAGCAATACCCAAGTGAATTCATCTTCTAAGCTTAAAATGTAAATAAATAAACTAATAAATAAACAAGCACCTCATTTTATTGAGAAAAGCAAGACAATGATAAAGAAAGGAGAGAATCCAATTAAACTTACAATTTCTGCATTAGATCACACCCAACTTTACACGAGAAATATTGTTCCTCATACTCAGCAGACTCATCCATCTGCTTCTTTGCCTACACGCTCAAAAACTGCATATTTGTAGGACTACAAGAGTTCTTGTTAGCTGCTAAGCTTGAACTTTTGGTATTACTCTCCAAGTCTGCATCTTCCATGGTAAAATCAAGCTGTTTCTCAAGTGATTTGAAAGTTGCCTTTCTCTTCGACCGTAACTGATATACTGGCGAAAAATTTAAATTCTTTCCATAATCTAATGAACCTCCGGAAATATTAACAGGGCTAGTAAACAATTTTGACTGTTTACTGATTGATCCTTCTTTTGGAGTGCAATCATCCTGTATTTTAATTTCATTTGTATGCATGGTTTCAGGAGGAAGAGATATGTGCACTTCTTTTCTCCTTTTTATTATGGATGGTGTGTTCGGAAAACTTCTAGCTGCACCTTTTAAAATGGATTCAACACTTGGCTGTTCAGATCTCGGAACATTCGCAGAAGAAGGGGTTGAATAACTAATCGGCGACGAAATCATCTGATGATCTGATGTTGGTTGCATTGATCTATGTCCAAATAAGATAGGAGAAAAGGCAGCAGCACCAAGATCTTCTAACTCAGGTGGTTTGTAGCAGAGAAAACCAACGTTATCAGAGTCTGGTAACAGTTTTGTTTCAAAGGGTTCTTCATTCCGGTGAACTTCTCCATTGAAGCTGTAGGCATCTAAATTTACAACTGATTCAGATCTATTCTGTACAAGATTGATTTCAGAACTATCAGATAGTCTTACTGCTATATCCAGCGTGGCATTTAATTCTGAAACTTGTGCTGATAGGGTCAACACCTCATCCTTTTGGCTTACTGCTTTAGGAGTCTCTGTTGGTAGACTACGAGGAACAGTTAAACAACTTCCTAGCACAGTGTTACCACTTGTGTGCAACTCTTTACTAGAGCAGAAAAATAATTGAGTATCACCAGAGTTTGTCCCGTCTTTGGCAGCATTCCGAATAACAGACTTCTGAATATGTGGAAATTTACCGGTTTTCACGTAGACTTCTGACCTTTTTCTTAAGGAACTGTTCCAGTGATTCTTAATTGAGTTGTCAGACCTAGATGTAAATGGAAGAATTAGCTGAAAAAATAAAAAACAAAACAGAAACTATAGTAACTCGTCAGGCAATCTCAAAAATGATGAACTTCGTACTGCCAGTAAAATTATTTTTTACTGCAAAAAAGCAGTAAAAAGGATGAACATAGCAGCAAAAACTTCAGAAAAATCTTCCAACTAAATGAATCCAGAGTACAATGAAAAAAACAATATTAGTCCATGAACAGGATCCTCTTCTACATAAAACAAGCGCAAACCAAAAGCAATTATGCCTAAGGAAAGCCCGGCAACAAAATGTTTTAGGGATAAATTGTAAGATGCCCATGTTCAATGAAAAAATGGTAGTTTGGATCAGAAAAGTAGAAAAATATTATGGGAAGAACTTGTAAAAAGGCTCTCCCATGGATCCGATCATATCTGCATCCAATGTAAACCAATATATCCGCATCCAATGTAAACCAAACTCTAATTCAACAGAAATATAGTGCCAAATGTAACGAATGCATGGAAATAGGATAGCCTTGCATAGCAAAATGATTATATAATAAAAGGATGCTCAGAATTGCATCTATCAAAAGAAGGGTTGTAAAATATAGATAGGAAGTTTGGAAATGTACATCATCATCAATCAGCATCAGTCTTATACCAACTATTTGGAGTTGGCATTATGAAACTTCATTTTTTATTCATTCATGTTGGATATTTTATGAGGTGTTAAACCATATCTTCATAATTTATTTGAACAATCTCTATCAGTGTGATCTTACATTCAGTGTGATCTTAGATTGTAAATACTTTGATGACAAACATAGGAGGATTTACATACATACCATAAAATTCTAATGTATTTACGTATCTAATATCTTAATTTCAATATTTACTTGTATAACATCAAAATCATTAAATCACATAAAATATGCCACTAATAGATTAGAGCCAATCATTTAGGTTAATCTTTCTATTTATAATTAGCCTTCTCTTATGTAGGATAGTCCACATTTCTCAAGATAGAACTTTCATGCCTAGGATAATCTTTCCATCTCTAAGATAGATTCTTTCATTAGATTGTTTCCTATATAAGTGGTGATGAAGTGAAAATTAACAAAAACTATCACTTTAGAGTTGGGATTTCCTAGATCACTCTACCGGTTTTTTCATCCCCCTTTTGTCCACACTTTTTTCCTTATGTTTCTTCTTTTTTATTTATTTGTTTTATTTTTTTCGCTTTGTGTAATATGTAGTTGTTCTTTACACTTCTCTGGCCTTTATGGCCAAACCATTACTTGGGGATGTTGTTTCTTCCGCTAGTCCTACTAACGCTAGTCCTACAAGTTGTTTCTTCCACTAGTCCTATTATCGCTAGACCTAACGGCTCTTTTGCTTGTCCGAATTTTGTTGGGATTTGTACGCGATTCAATCTCTTAAAGATATGTTAGCGGGTGCATCATCATCTTCTCTTCCCAAATTGGATCTGAAATATTCTCCATTTAGGGGCAAGCCTGCTATATAGCTTTCTGATGAAGATGTTGAAACTTCAACTGCACCTTATGAGTTTATGCTTATTGGTAAATTTTCTTTAAAGCGGCCCTCAATTGTTTATATTCAAGCATTTTTCTTTAATCTAAAACTTTACGGATCCCTTTCTGTTGGTTTATTGACAGACATGAAATATATCTATTAAGTAAATGACTAAGATTAAAGAAAGATGTTTGCTATACGTGTCACTACTACATTCAAATATGTCAAATAAGTCTTTTAAAGTGGACACCTTATTTTGACATTACAAAAGAATCTCTTATTATGCATATACTGATAACTTTGAATTTTTTTTTTATAATATGCTGATACAATTTGTCTTAGAAATCGGCATGAATTTTTACAAAAATTAGGGCAAACATTAATTTTAATGCAATAATCCAAACAACTCACACAAATTCAAAAGATAAGCACCTGCAATTCGAGAGGTATGCGGTCTCTCCCAACTCAATCTTATGCATCCCCCCAACCCTAAAGATAATAAGTCTATTTATACCTAAGAAAAATAATAACAAAAGACTAAATTACCCTTAGGCGTACAAAAGATAAATTTTCTCTTAAACTAGGCGTCATCATAACAATACTCCCTCCCCTCCCCCAGGTGGGAATAAATGAGAGCATCCCTCCACATCCCCCACAGCTGTCTCTATTTCTTCATTCTTCGCTTTCTCGTCCTGTACTATGAGAACTTATAATCTTCAATCCTCGCAACGGTGTCCTGGGGCAAACTTCTCATCACACAAAAAATATAACCCCTTGGCTCGCTTCTCCCGAATCTGTCACTGTAAGGAGCTTGGGTGTTGCTCCCGGTCGTGAACCATTATTCGTGTCCCGTGCAGCCTCACTCTGGACTGTCTGAACTTATGTCATCGTCGTGGTTGCAGCAGTTCCGTACGACGCTCCATCTATGTTGCTCCTGTTAGCTTTCCTCATGTGGTTCTTGTTTCTCACCATTTGGGCAAGCTTCATCATCTCCCTCAATCCCCGCGGTCTTAGTAGTTAGTGTGTTTGTAAGTCAGGCTTTAAGCCCTTCATAAAATTTCCCTCCAGTTCTGCTTTAAAAATCCCCCACAGTCATCCCGACAATAGTTCAAATCTCTCCATGTATTCCATTTTCGTCCCTTCCTAACTCAAGGCATAAAATTGCTCGTGTAGGTCTCATTCTTGAATGGCTCGAAAACATTCCAACAAGCAATTCTTAAATTCATTCCATGAACGAATTGGGTATCTAGAATCCCTCCATTTAAACAAGGTTAAGGCTTTCCCATTCAAACAAAATTCTGCCGCCATGAGTTTCTCCTCTCCATCTAACTCATTCATCGCAAATTATCGCTCCACCTGATACACCCACCCATGTGTGTCTTCCTCCTAGATCAACATCTTCAACTTCCTAATTCTAACCCACTTCTTCCTCTTCCTCAGTTGTTACCCCACATATATCGAAGTTAAAACTCACGCCTTCTACCATAGCCATATCCCCTCTCTGCTTCTTCATGCTCCCCAATACCTCTGACAAAATCCCTTCTCTATATTTCGGTCAACTGCCTCCATCAGAAATCTCTAACCCACCCCTAATTGTAGCCTTGAGAGGAGGTTCGTGATGATGGATGTTTTCCTCCACATGTTCCTCACCTTCGATCTCTTTTCCTCTCAATCTTGCCACAGATTCTCTAGTTAACCTTTGGTTAGGGTATAAAAATTGAGCTGTCGGCGGGTTCTTGGATTGCAACTCTATGACTCTCTTCATCATCTCTCGCATTTCTTCTATGCTATTGAATCCACTCTCCCTTAGGTTTTCTTTGGAAGAAAACCTAATTTCCATGACAGCGAACTTTTCTTCCACTCCGATCTGAGTTGCCCCACCTCTTCCTCCGATTTCTTCTCCAAATTGTCTACTTTCCTGGATGCCATTCCTTCCAATTACTAGAGCAAACTTAATCTCAGATCTGGTCATTGACTCTAGGATCAAGATTAGAGCAAGCCCAATCCGATTACAGCCTTCCCCGCTCGTTCGGATCTAGTATGTTTGGCGCGGTTCAGTGTGACAGAGATAAATTAATTATGCAATTCCTTTTATTTCCCAAATAACTTTAACTGCAATCTTATCCCAAGGCTTAGGTCACGACAGCAAGCTCTGAGTGTGACTGTATTGCAATGTTCGGTCACGAAGGCGACAGGACACTGGCAAGAAGATGGAGTTTCGGACTTCTGTATCCCCATGATGGCGTAGTGGCTTCATAACTAGCTTAGTCGCTCACCAGGAAAGGTGTGTTTCGTCAATCTAAGTCATGATCCTGTAGTCGTAGCCCTTGTACAGAGCAAAAGGTGGTTGGTTTCAGTCCTAGGTATGTCGTGATTCTTCCCAATCACAGTTGTTCCAATCGCGCGACTATTTCTCGAAGTTAAGTCTCAGAATCATTGTCTGTCGCGATCCTTTCATTCCCCACATCACGATCCTTTCATTCCCCACGTCACGATCTACTATCCCGCCTCCTCTGTTGCATAGTTGCCTTCTTCGCAAGCTTTAATTGCGGTTGTAAGACAATTCCAAGGGTTATTTCCTAGAAATCAATTTGTTGTAGAAATCAACACGGATTTTTACGGAAATTAGGGCAAACATGAATTTTATTGCAATAATCCAAACAACTTACACAAATACAAAAGATAAGCACATACAATTCGAGAGGTGGGCGGTCTTTCCCAATTCCTACAATTCGAGAAGTAGAGAATCTCTCCCAAACCCTAGACCTAAGACTTACAACTCAATCTCATGCATCCCCCAACCCTAAGCATAATAAGTTTATTTATACCTAACACTAATAATAATAAAAGACAGCGTATAAAAGATAAATTTGCCCTTAGGCTAGGCACGCTCGTAACATATGCAGCTTCATTTGATGACACCTCAAGTGTTACATATTGCGGTTTCAATAGTTGGCCGACCTTTGCAAACAAATTTTGCTACTGCAACGCTTATTAGATCTTTTGTAGTTCGTAACTTGGTGGAAGTGGAAATTTCTAAGAATTGCCAATTGAAATCTGACTTGGTTTTAAAATACATGATTATGCTCAGAAGAATGAATTTAAAAGCATCCATCTTTTTTATTCCCACTGCAAAATAAATGAACATTCGTTATTTGAATGTTTTATCTTACATCCTCGCTTAAAAATGATGGCAATAAAAAGTTATGGATAAGTTAGTTGATGTTGTTTCTGATAACCAACTCCACTGGATGATGTTCAGATTCTCAATGATTTGACAGTCGGTAGCCTTGTTCCTAATCCTGATAAGGAAAAAATTGACCCCATTCATCTTGCATTTCAGGATAACTCCTTGATTAACTGGATATCTTACTAAATATTGAATTTAAGAACATTTATCTTTTTTATTCCAACTGCAAAATATATGGTCATTCATTATCTCACTATTTTATCTTGCATCCTCACTAATAAAATAATAGCAATAAAGTTATGGATAAGTTAGTTGATATTTATTCTGATGACCAGCTCCTCAATCCCTCTAGATTGGATACTGTTAAGATGCTCAATGGTTTGACCGTCTGGTAGCTCTGTTCCTAATCCTGGTAAGGAAAAAGCTAATCCCAATCAGCCTGCATTTCAAGATAATTCCTTGATTAACTTGGATAACTCTCTGAATATTGAATTTAAAAACATCCATCTTTTTTGTTCCCACTGCAAAACATACGGTCATTCATTATTTGAATCTCTTATCTTACATCTCACTTATAAATAATAGCTATGAAGTTATGGATCAGTTGGTTGATGTTTGATGTAGGTTCTGATGGCCAGCTCCTCAATCCCTCTAGACTGGAAAATGTTAAGATGCTCAATGTTTTGTCTTCCGGTAGCCTTGTTCCTAATCCTGGTAAGGAAAAACCTAACCCCATTCAGCTTGCATATCAGGATGATTCCTTGATTCACTTGGATAAATCTCTAAAATATTGGTAATCCTAATGTTGTTGAGGGATCTCTAACTTCACATCCCCTTAAACAAGAAGGTTATATATCACTAGCCAGGACTAGCTCGAGTGTGGATGTGATATAAGCTACTCTACTTATAATTAAATAAGGTGATAATGAGATAATATGTATTAATTCTGGTGTGAATCCTAGCACCCTTACAGGTCCTATTCATCAAACAAAATAGCCCTAACTTGTCACTTGAGCTACTGGAAGGAAATAGAATTATGGAAAATAATCCTACTCCACTTTTGCATGGCCATAATCAAATGGAAGATGGGGATTTGTTCCTGATGATAACTCAACGATTCACATTTTGAAAACTCACGAATCTAAGAATTGTGCATCTTTGAATGGAGTTGAAACTGAAAGATATAGAATGGTTACTAGGAAAAAAACTAGAAATGGAAAAAAACATATGGATACCCTAAAAGCTCCAAAGGCTCCGACAACTTCTCCACCACCCATACTCCATGATTAGTGCTTTACATGCGCAAGAGACTTGGATAAGAATGGTGATGACTTTATTTCACACCAAACTGTACAAAACAAAATAGTAGAATCTTAGCATTACCATGCAAGCCTTACAATTGTTTGAAAACCCTTCCTGCACTGATCAATAAAACAAAAGGATATTGCAGGTATTATACGGGTGAAATCATGAACAAAAATTGGCATTATACGACACAATAAATCCTATCTCACGTAACAAATATTTTGGCATTACTTCTAAGTCTCTGCAATACCATTAAACATGGCAATTTTTATGTAGAAAACCCTGTTGAATTGTTGAATACCTAAAGCGTGCAATACCGTTAATACTTTACAAAGTCCGATCAAAACGTTTAATTTCCTACAAGCCAAAGAAACCTCTTCACACGGCAAGCCAGCTTTTAAAAAAGACAAAAAAAAATTGCCATACTGAGCGAGAAATATTGTGCAAGTGAATTTACAAATTTCAAGTATGTCACGGACAAATTGAAGGAATCTGAAAGGACAAAAAAAAGAGTCTAGGAAAAATCTCCAATGAAGATGAAGATCGAAACAGAAGTATTAAGATTCTAAGCTTCCTCTAAATGGCAGAGATATGGCAGTAAATGGCTGCTACTGTTGACAGCACCCGATCCTGCTGCAGGCATGCTTATTGTGTTTCTTCCTTTCAAAGGCCACGGGAAAAGCATACCTTACAATACATAGACTTCAACTTTTCATTTCAAAAAGTATATTATCAACAAGATAATATAGACTGGATAATAAAATGACTGTTTTCAATCAAAAGTTTCGGATCTTGTGGTTCTAATTCAGACAATAATAAATATGCAGTAGATAAATGTGAAAATGTTGATTTAAACAAACTGACGATATAAAATATAATATAATATGTTATATCCTAATTTCCAGCAGTTTGGCTTCCCTGATTTCCTGCAGTTGTCTAGATTTCCAGCAATCTAGCTTCCCTGATTTCCTGCAACCATACAACAGCACTACCACTACTCTGCATCCTAGCTATTACTTGGCCTCTCGAGGAAGATCTACAGCCCTCATTCAGAATATTTTCTTGCTGTTATTTTTTTCAGAAGGTTGTCTACTTCCCTGCAAACTTCCCTATAGTATTAACTGTAGGAGCCTCCTCCTATCTACAAACACTACACGAACTGCAGTCAAAGACAAGAACAATCAGTTTTTTCTTACATGTTATCTACTTTCCTGCAAATTCACCTGTAGCATTACCTATAAAAGTCTTTTATCTACTACAGACACTACAATAAATGCAGTCAAAGACAACCGCAGTTGTTGAACTTCCCTGCAAACTCCCCAATAACATTATTTGTGGGAGTCTTCTGCCTACCTATAGGCATTGCAGAAACTGCTGTCAAAGACAACCACAGTATAGGATGAAGACTTCAAATTCTACTTCACGGGATCTCCCTCACCCATTGTTTGATGTTTTCAAATACAAGTTGAACATCATTTGTGGGATCTCCCTCACCCATTGTATGGGATTAAGAATACAAATTCTACTTCATGGAATCTCCCTCGCACATTGTTTGATTTTTTTCAAATACCTGCAAACTCCCCAACAACATTATTTGTAGGAGCCTTCTGCCTCCCTATAGGCAATGTAGTCAAAGACAACCACAATAAGGGATGAAGACTTCAAATTCTACTTCACGGGATCTCCCTCGCTCATTGTTTGATGTTTTCAAATCCAAACTGGACATGATTTTCAACCATATTTCAACTTGAGGGAGAGTGTTAGAAGTTATATTAGGAAATAATTTATTCCTCTGAAGATATATGTGTGTTTGTGTGTAGAATAGGTTACTTTAATTAAAGAATCAATACCTTCCAGGTAACACCTTTGCAATTTCAGCCCACTTATTCCCATATTGAAGGTGAGCTTTCATGAGTTCAAGCTCCTCCTCAGAAGTCCAAGCATCTTTCCTGATTTCTGGATTTAAATGATTATGCCACCTTCAAAAAATTAAATCATCAGTTAGCAAGAAGGCGCAGATGAACATCTCTATAGAAGATCGAAAATGTTACCCCCACCCCTACCTCCTAAAAGAAAATACTTCAAAACCGTTATAAATGAATGACTTCTAGTAGAGAGAAATGTTTGACGGAATAATCAACCAGGCTGTGAGTTGATCTGAGATTGTTTGAAGTTTTTTGGGAGATCATATTCATAATTGTAACATTAACCTTCCAAGAATTCATTGAAAGTGGAAGAGCAAAACCACAAAGAACAACCAAAATACAGTGCAGAAATTTTGCAATGGAAAAGCCAATATTTAGATGTAGCCTTGGTTAAAATGTACCAACTTCAATAACACAATCATGAAAAACAAAAATTAAAGATCATCGAAGACGACCAAAGTAGCATTCTAAGTTTTGATTTTACTTTAATTGGCATCAAGAAAGCTGTTTCTTTCATTTTTAGAATTTTTAAGTTAAGTATATTTTAATCATGCCTGTGATAATATCTGAGAGAACAGGTTGTATTCGCTAACTAAGCCTTTCTTCTCTCAAGTTCGATTCTATTTTGGCATTGTTTTTTAGTTTCCTCAGTCAAATTCAGCTTTTTATTCATTGCTCTATGTGGAGGCTCGGTTGATGTTGGGTTCTTTGTTGGACCAGAAATTCTTGTTGGGCCATGATTTGAAATGGACCATAATATTGTGAAATGGATTCCACTAGTTTGAGCCTACATAACAGCTTCCAGCACCCAAAAACAATCCTAGTTTACAATACAGGATCTCCTCTTCGGCTTGTGATTATTTTGTTTGTATAACGAGATTTACAGCGCTGCCCCTCACGTGATTTTAAGGGATCTCCTCATGCTTTTCCCTCACCTATTCACACATCTTTGTGTACATTTCCTGCATGCAGTTATTGTGAATTAATTGAGAATAGTTTTTGAGTATTGTGGATATGTGATTTGCGGAGTCTTCTACAGCAGTTCTCAACATGCCTTCAGCATAGATTTGAGTCAAATGACTTAAATCTAAGATATTTTTTTGTTATTTCAAGAAGGGATTTATGGTTATAAAAGATAGGTAATATCAGTTTCAATAATAATTTCTTTTAAATATATTGTTTCCTCATTTGCCTAAATGTTCCGTGGATAAAAATTTTCTAGCAAAGTGCTAATATTAAAAACCAGCCTTCAGAGAAGCCACCCTCTGATACGGACATGAGAACTGAATTGTTATTCTTAATTATTGGTATTTCTGCAAGATTGGTTTCGGCCCAAATTTCACAATCTGTGTTTTCTGCTCTGTAGAATGGATTTCGAATTTTATTGATACAAGATTTCTATGTCAAATTTCTAGTGATGCAGCCATTAATTTATCATTTGCAATGATTTACATATTTTCCAGTATTCATCAAAATAAATAGATACTCGGTTATATTGATGGTCTGTGAATTAAGAACAAAGGTTTCGGGTGCAGAGCTTCATGCACTACATGATATAGTTGTATTACAAAACACTAAGATATTTTGCATCATATTTTATGCCATAGTTTAAGTTCGCATCATCACATCAACGAGTAAAACATAGTAATAGGGTTAATTGACAAAATAATAACATGATGCAAATCATATGGTAATCAAAAGATTTAGAATCACATCATTGCATTTGATGGGAAGTAAGAACCTAGGGATCAAACTGGATTGACAATTTAGAAGTTGTTTTTTAAAAGTTACAATATATATGATTCCCAGTGAATTGAATTTGTTAAATCAAAACTACAGAATGTGCTTAGCAATTTTGGCGAAGTATTGCACGTGAAACAATATCTATATGAGCTAATAATAAATATAAACTTAAAGAGAAATATTTATCAATTAGTAATTATAAGTGTTCATTGTATGCTAAAATTTAACAATTATAAATAAAGTGACTCTACCGTGCTTAAATATTATGCAAGGCTTGAAGGTCTTAAATATTATGTTTCTAGATTATTATGTTATCACTATCTACTTTATTAAAGATCCTAGGAGAGAAATTAAAGATGAATCAAGCTATAATTCATCAAAAATATCATAAAAGGCTTAAAAAAGCTACAAAAATTTAGTAATATAATAGCACTCTCCTAATAAAAATACTTCAACATTTCTTAATGTTTCTAAAGAAAAAATTTTAGCATATCCTCCGACTTATCAAACCCACACCAACACAAGAATCTAGGGTCCAATTTTTTTCCTATTGAAGAAATTATTGATCATAAATATTTTTATGATGTATTATATCCAAATAAATAGTTTCAAATACAATATGATTCTGCAGATGATTTTTTTTAAATCTTGAGTTGCATCTAAAAATGACATTAGAAAAATCATGTCTATTGTAGTTGATACGTCAACTAAACAACATAATAACACAACCCTTCATTAATACGAAAATTAACCTTATAAGGTTGATATCGATCGACATTTCCTTGTAGTTTTATTCATAAATTCATCTTGAATTTTAAAACTCCATCCACTTGACTAAGAGAACAAAATTCATTATGACTAATATTTAATATATTTGAGATAATGATTTTCAAGTTAAAAATTCTAGAAATTTTAATTATTAATATAATATTCAAAGTATCTGATCTGACATTACTTTATGATTTGAACAACAATGCCTAGATTTTTCTCATTCCACCTAAGGAATTAATATCAACTAACTCGCTATAAAATCCAACAAATATTGTTCCAAAAATGAAATTTTATCAACTACTTATGTTGGATACCAAAAATGTCACATACAATGGTACGATAAGCATGGCATGGAATTCTAAGTTTTCATTTTGCTTTGGTTGATGTTATTTTAATGGTTTCTTCGATTTTCAAATTTTCAATTTAGTAATTTTATTCGTACATATGATGATACCTACAAGAATTGAGTTTTTTCTCTGATGTTTTAAGCCTTCTTTCCCTCTATTTAGATTAATTCCCTATGTTTCTTTGGTTTAATTTTTGCCGTGACTTCAATTTTTCCAGTTCAATTCAACCTCTCTTCATTGCTTTATATGAAGGTTTGGTTGATGTGGACGTCAGGCCAAAAGTTCATAAAGGGCCACGAATCAAACTGGACAATAATGTTGAGACTTGAGTTATATTGTTTTGGGCCTAAAATTACATTTCGACGCAGAAGTAACGATCCTTAAATCTTTAGTATCCACTCTCTCTTGTGACTTGCAGCAACTCAGTTTATGAATGTCAAATTTTACAGTTATAGCTTTTTATGCATCTTTAAATAATCTCAAGTATTTTTAAATTGTTTCACCACACCTACAAATTTATGTAAGTTTATGTTTGCTATTATTATATATTACATGAGCATATGTTTGTAGATATTGTTGAATGGGATTCACGTGAATCTTTCACATTCTGACCATGAATTGGACTTCGTTTGAGTTTTCACCTATCAACTTTGCTTTAATATTTGGAAATACTTTATGATTACAAGTAATGGGTACTTAGGAATATAAACATGACGACAACAACAAGAAGTCTTTATCCCACTAAGTGAAGTCGGCTGCATGAATCCTTTTTCTCCATTGTGTATTATTGAGTGTCATAGTTTCATTTAATTTTAATAGTTTAAGATTATTTTTTAGACAATATGCCCGAGTCTTTTTAGGTATGAATCTGTCTTACTTAACATAAGTCGAATCTAAAACATTTATCCTAATCAGATCATCAGATAGTTGACGTTTAATATGACCAAACCATCTAAAACGACTCTCTAATCTTGTCCGCCGCTGGAGCTACACCAGCCCAATCAAGGATATATTTATTTAGCATTTTGTCTCTAAGTGTCAAGTCATTCATCCACCTAAGCATTCTCATCTCAACGACACTTAACATTGTTTAATACTTCTCTTTTAAATGTCAACATTATGCGTTATAAAGCATTGCGGGTCTCACTACCATCTTATAAATTATCCTAAGTCTAAACAGTACTTTTCTATCACACAATAGACCCGATGCATTCCTCCTCTTCAACCAACGAATATGAATTCTACTAATAACATCCACATCTATATCATCATCACTTTGAACAAAACCTGAAATATCGAAAACGTACATACCTTTTAATGATTTGATCGCCCATAGTTACAACTCTACCAGAGAGCTACTACTACTAAAATTACATTCCATGTATTCAGTTTTAGATCTACTCAAACAAAGGCATTTAGACTCCAATGTAGATCTCCATAATTCGAGATTTTCCCCAACTCTTTCTCTAGTCTTATCCACAAGAAGGATATCAACAGTCAAAAGTATACATCAATGTACATCCTCCTGTAAATGTCCAATAAGAGCATCCATAATTAAAGCAAAAAAAATATGGGCTTAAGGCCGATCCCTAATGTAATCCAACTAAAAAAGAAAAATACTTTGTCAATCCTCCTTCTATTTGAACATAAGTAACAGCTTTAATATGCATATCTTTAATGACTTCAATCACATATCTTCTTTAGAACTCTCCAAAGGACTTCTCTTGGAACATTACCGTAATTTTTTTTTCTAAATCAATAAAAAACACTAAAATATACATGAGTTGTAATTTATTATGATTTTTTTGTTTGCTCCATGTACTTAAGGGTCAACCGGATGCCTATCTTTTTAGTGACGTGTAAGTGGTGACTACCAACTTCTAAAGTAAGCCCAGTGAAATATTTTCTTAAATTTTTTTATTCTAAACTTTTAGTTACTAATTTTGTCAAAACTCTTTTTTTTTTATTCTTTTGGGATTAAATTTTGTCAAAACTCATACAATCTAAATTTGATTCCACTATTATTTTAGATCAAAGTGTAGTACATTGATTCTGAAATTCAATGTAGGTGAGCTTTTAATTTGAGTGAATATAGATTTTTTTTTTATTTTCATCAAAAGTAATGAATACTTATTTAATGATATGTGAATTTTGAATTTTGATTCCATGTGTTAAAAAAAACCTTAACTCTATGACCTCCTCCATCAAATTCACTCAAAATCACAAAGATGTAAGCTCTTGAAACAAAAAATACCTAAGAAACTCTAGGAAAAGGATTCCTATAGCAACCCTTCTAAAGAAGAAACATATACTACATGAAGCAATAAAAAACAAACTAAAAAATATAAGAGGTTATTAACTGTAGCATATATGATCAGAACTCCATATGGACCTCCATCTTATTAAGCTCAATATTAAGCTAGGCTTCAATATAAGGTAAAACATAAAATGACACATGATGGTTCTCACTGATATGGCCTTTTGGTGGAATGCCTCAATAGATGATAATATGACTACTTATGAGCTAGAATGAAATATTGTGTAATAAATGGGTCAGGAAAAAGAAAGTAAGGGAGTTGTATATAAGACGTGACGATTGGTTATAAAAACAAATGAGTCTTTGTTCCTTGTTGTTTCAATCCTTCTTTTGGATCATATATCATTATCATTCTCCATGAACAACGCAAAAATCCATTCATATTTTCATGTTTTATTTACAACTATTTCTTTTTAATTTTGCCCGTTTGGGATCTGAGAGATAAAACTTAAACAATCTAAATATAAAATTTCTTACAAACAGTGTTCGTTTGAACAGATTAAGTTGATAAGGAAATGCATCAAAAAATAAGCAAATTCCTTTAAAACAATACTACCAAAAAGCTACCACAGACTGGTAATACTGAAGATTGCTCTTCCGCAAAACACTAAAACCATTCCCTTCCAGGTAGATCAACATAAAAGAAAGTCAAAAAATGCAAAATGAATGGAATTACAATATAGTAATTAAAAAATAAAAAACAAACATGCGTTTATTTTTTGTAAACCGACTCATAAAGTTGGAAACAAGAAAACAGTACCTCTCTCGGCATTGTTTTCCAATTCTCCCAGGAAGAGATCCTGCAATTACAGACCATTTTGTTGGCCCATACTTCGCAACAAGTTCAATGATGACATTATCTTCCTGAATAAAGTTAGGCAAATTAGAACAGAAATATATTTCAAATCTAAACTACTATTTGAAGAATTGTTATATTGAACAAAAATATAACGACAGACCTCTGGAGTCCACGGTCCTTTGATAAGTTTAGGATTAAGAACCTTTTGCCAACGATGCAGGCATTGCACTTCAGTCCTACCCGGAACAGATTCAGCTGAATAACAAACATGAAATCAAATCATAATCCTTAAACGCATCACACAGAACATAAGTTAAAAGAGATCAAGGTTATTTTAATCAGAAATTTTTTCCAGAAGTAGAGCATTTAGTTTGTAAAATAACATTGTAATAACTTGCTGAAATTGTCATTGAAATATAGGGCGCATAACATGCAAGCAGGAAATATGAGCACAAACAATGACTTTGGCCATCTATAGAGGGCATTTGACCTTTAAGAGAAAATCACATAGCCTTTGTTTTTAAAATTAAAAAAGAAAAAAGAAAACAGGAAAAATAAGCCTTCGCAATGTGATTAAAGGAAAAGTTTGTGCCATCCAGCAAATTTCAGATATCAGATCGATTCATTAAGCTTGCATATTCTCAAAAAAGTAGCCATCTTAATCACATCTTTGTTATAATTATTGGATTACGTGAAACCTTTTGTAAAATCTTGTTGTGTCATTTTTGTTAGTGTATTTGAAGATTCTTTTGATTGGAAAGATTTTACTAAAGCCATGTGTTTGGAATTTTTAGGCCTTCTTATTCCAGAGGCATTATTTTGCAGTGTTTTCATTAAGTGGCTTCATTATTTTTATACATCATGTCTAACGCTTCTTAATGAGAACTAAGGCTAGCGATCTCCAGCATATATAAATTTTAATTTGGATGTGTAAGCCTCTTTTATCAACTCCTTGATACCTGAAAATCTTTAGAGATAGCCAAAATTATTACGTCCGGACTCCGGACGTAGAGCTCCACGTGGAGCTTACAGGAAAAAAAATGTGTTTTCTTGTTATCCGGCCCGGTAACACAGGAGAATATTTCTCCCGCGTTATTCTGTGTTATTGGTATTATTGTGGTGGTATTGATGTGTTATTGTGTTATTACAACACCGATAATATTCTCATAACACAATAATACATAAATATCACCACAATAACATATGAATAACACGGAATAACACGGGGGAATATTCTCTTTTGCTAAAACGAATTCTTTTTATTTTTTGTCACCTCCACGTGGCGTGATTTTATTGGACTCCGGACATATCTCTACGTCCAGAGTCCGGACGTAATAATTTTTCCCTTTGGGGTTTCAAAATTTATCTCTTTTATTTCTTCTTTTTTCTTTCTTTTTTCTTCTTTTTCTCCGCCGATGTTTAGAGATTGTTTTGAAATTGGATTTGACCTAATTAAGATCTATAATCTTTATTAATTATTAGGGATCTTAATCATTTTTTAGGGATCTTAATTAATTAATCAATCTTTATTAATTATCAGGGATCTTAATCAATTAAGATCTATAATCTTTATTAATTATTAGGGATCCTAATTAATATCATGAAATCTTATACAATTTTATGATATTCATTCATTATTAATAATTTTATTGAGAGATCATATTTTTTTGTATTTAAATTTGGTTTTTAGTTATTTTCCTACATTTATTGTTTGTAGAAATAATGACGTTACAAGGCTTACTTTCTAGGAAAATTTGTATGTTGAACTCACATAAATTATCATAGCAAAAAATTTAGATTTATAATGTAAATTCTAGACCCAAAAATCTTAAATCGCATGTTCAAAGGGAGAAAAAACATCTATCCCACTCGCTGATGTAAACTTCTATCCCAATGGCCGATATTATAAACATGGCAAATTTCATTGATAATTATTCTTAGCTACATAAAGAAAGCATCTTTGCATCCAAAGGCTTTTGATAACAAGTTACTTATGCTCGTTGATTGAACCACGTGATGTCATATTTATGAAAATACATTTCTTTGTATTATAATTTTTAAAAGTTCTATCCCTAGAAAAAGAGTATAGAATTTTTTTATTGGAGCCCCTCAATCAAAGATAAATAAAGATTATCATCATTCTATTAGTTCACATGAAGCAAAACATGATCTTGACATCAGAATACAAATAAACTTGCTTTATAAAGCATATACATGATAATGAGTTCATCAAGGCTCATCCACAACATCAAGAGAACTCAATTCTTATTTCCATATCTATTGCATCACAGTTCACTGGACTAATGTGTATGCAGCTAGTTAATATTCATAACTTAATTGATAAATTATAAAAGACGAGCAGAAGAAGCAAATTATGACTAAAAGCTAATGAGGTTTAGACTAAGCAATGAAAAGAAAGAAACCTATTTTCTTCCAATTCCTTCCTTTGTGTAATTCAACAGCATGCCGAAGAGTCTCATCCTGTGGCAAGTTATGAAGCATCAGTAAAGCTTCTTCAAAAAACATTATAATAGAAAGCGTTTTGCTATATAGCAAAGACAGAAGATTAAATGCAAACAAATTAGTTTTGTCCTTGCCAGCCCTCAAAGAACAGTAAATGGAGATAAAAATATAGTTCAATACTTACAACATAGTAAGTTTAGAAACAATTTCTGTTGTTAGAGTAAAATTTTTTTAAGGGTTACAAATACTGATGCTATAATCGGTGAGATGATGCCCAAAATTCTAGATAAGCTAGAGAAGGCTATTTCATCTTTAAGAAAATTTTGACTAGTTTTGAGCAGTTTGCAATGAAAATAAATGTGGTCACTGCATTGAATAACCTCCTCTAATATCATTATCGTGTAGACCTTGCAAATTTGAAACTAATATATGAGATAAGTATGAAAACATTAACGAACAACTAAACATGCTTACTTCATTTGGTGTCCAACCTCCTTTTGCTCGCCTGATTGGACCACTTGTTCTCCTATATTTCAGCATCAATATCAGTAAGCATAGGAGGAAAACATACAAGACACTTCAAAGACACAAAAACCAAAGATCAATAAGAAATAACATAATCTATACAACTACAACCAGCAGAAGTTTCTCAAGAGCAAACCATACAGGTTTACACGTTCATTCATGCAGACACAATAAGATGGGCGTAGATTAACTTAATGGAAAACAAGAAAGCATTTCATAAACTAGAGAAACAAGGGTAGCAAAGAAGCATCCAAACAAGAAATTTTTTCGCCCAGTCCTTTTTTCACAATCATAAACAAATTATAGTCTATCACATTCACAAAGTTTCCTTCCTGGCTGTTTTAGTTTTAATTTTTGCAACACGTGTGCTGCAGTTACACATTTGTTAACATTCTAAATTCATTAAAGATTCATACAGCACTCGGGGAGCTTACTAACATGTAAGCAACAAAAATATTATGTTTATTTTCAGTATAAAGGAGAGGGAACGAAATCAAAAGGTATTGCAGTGAGCAAATCATTCCGTGCAACAAATTAAGGTGATCAACTACATCAGCCCCTATCCAACTTGGCAACCATCTCAACTCCCATCACTTAGTTAAAAATAATCATCTGAATTGAAAGAAGAACCGCAGCACCAGTAAAAACAAAGAACCAAGATCACTAGGAAAAAATTAAACACAAAAAGTCAACAACCAGCAGGTAAAATTCACCTATGATTCGGAGAAGAAGTCACGGGACTGCAAGTAGGCGAGAAGGTGGAGAATCCAGAGCTCCCCTCCGAAATCGACGAGCAAGATGCAGTTACGGATTGCTTGTTCTCCACACAGCTTTCTTCTGTCTTCAGATAATTCATGACTAAAAACTGATCCACTCCCACCGCCAGCAATTTGAATCAGCAAAAACCCCGCAAGCCCTAACGGCAACAAAAAGACCGCACGCTACCACAAACAGAATAGATAAACCAAAATTCCCCGACCAACGTATGCAAAAATCTCACGCATAGATACTGGAAGCAACCGTAGACCTCGGAATGCCAAGGTCTCAGATGAAAATCTACTGAATTAGAGGCTTCTGTCCTCAATAGCAACTCAAATAGTGTGATATTTCTACTGGTAATCCAATCGAGCAAGGCAGAGATTATACAATCCAGGAATCGATTCGCCACCGGCAGGCTGAGAGGGTGGAGATCGTCGGTGATAGCAACAGCGGCAAACGAGACGAACCCTAAAATCAAAGAAAGCTGTTCCTTTCAAAAATACATAACCTCGCCCGTTGATATCCGCCCGTTGTAGGGCGATGAAATAAATATAAATAAAATCACTAACAAAATTCTGGAAAAAAAGAATCGTGCGGGGTGAGGTAGCCGTCGATATTATGAATTATGCCGTGTATAACGACTATTAATTGTGCCGTTAACGTTAGAGGACTAGGGTTATTTATGAATATATATATATATATATATATATATATATATATATATTGAAATATATTATCTAAGAATAGGGGAGTCAATTTTATTTTTAAATAAATTAAAATTAATTAAATTTTTTAAAATAGGGACATTTGCATGGACACCACTACAATTTTAACTATTTGTTTATTATATTTACTCTTTTTTTTTTTTATGCAATTAGTGTTGTATGCTCAATAGAGTAAGATTTTTTTGTCTTAGAATTCAACAAAGATTTATTTTATGCACATAGATAAGGGATGTTTAGTAGAAATAATCAATTTTTTTTATGTAAAAATTCAAAAAGAAAAATAAATTATAGAGCGATCAGTTGAAATAATGTATTATATAAATGAGTTGTAGATGTATAATTTTTCCGTCAATTAAAGATGAAAACATTATATATATGAGTTGTTAGTTTGACCATAGTAATGTTAATGAAATAATAATGAATGATGGTGGCAATCAATAGATGCATCTCACATAGTAACAATCATGAGATGGTCTTCGTGTAATAGTGGTTGAGTGATAACTATTGGGTGGCGACAGCTACATGACAATAATTGAGAGATGAAGGTGATAACAATTAAGTTACAATAGTGTATCTGTTTGTAATGGTTATTTATGATCATCGTTGGTGTTGATTGTCAAATGATATTCTAGACTTCTTCTAATATCTAAGTTTTCTCCAATTTAAGATCCCCTCATACGAAAAATGAGAGCAGTTTTATGATTTTAGCTACGATATTTTAGTTATTTTTGTCATTATTATTATACACAACATGAGACAACTTATTTTGGTTCTCTCAATTATGATTTTTTTTTTAACTATTTAAATATTTTATGAACATCAAATTTAAGTAACTTTGGACTTGTTAGATTTTTCTTATTGAGATGCTCATTTTATCTGTAAATAAATAATATTTAGAGATCATATAATCTCTCAAATAATGTCATGATGGATGTGTGCTCGGTAGTGAAGTAATGAATTAGAAACTTAACTTTGTACGAGAATCTGACACACACTCAGATAAAAGAAAACAACATGTAGAGACCCCGAAAGTTGTATTTGGAAAACCTGAAAAGACAAAATAACCATAAGGTCTAGCCCAATCAGAACAATCCACCATGAATTAGTGATTACGCATACAGGTTCATGTCTCACAGTCAGAAAAAAACTACAGTTTCTTGAGGTACAATGTTTGTTTTATAATGGTCAAGAGTGGATGCAATTGGGATGGTTACTAGAACCAATACACTATCTTCGAGATGCGCCGCTACACAACACGACGTATTGGGGGACGAATTGTTCTGGCAAGTGCTGCTCTTTTCCGAAACGCATGTTGGGATTCAACTATGCAAGTTATTACTTCAAAAAAGATTTTACCGCAGGGAGTGGGTGGCGGCTGATGGTGGTCAATGATGGCTGGCGAGTGATGGTCAACGATGGTCAGTGGCTAAATGAGGGGGAGAAGTTCACTGGATCTTCACTGCATAAAATAATGCTCTACTTCAGCTTCTTCTTCAACCTTTGGTCTTCCTCTAGCTCAGAGTTTAGTTCCTCTTTCAATAGGTGACCGCGCTCTATTTAAAAAACTCATGTTGTGAATAATGAAGAAATAAGGACCACCCTGATTTGAAGAAAGTTTGGTATCATTGTGTCGTCTCGTTTGACTGATCAATTTGACTATAAGTGTATTGAAATTAGAGTTCTAGATGAGTCTTAAAAGAAGTTTAAACATTTCTGAATCAAAAAAATTTCTCAAGATTCGTGTAATGAATAGAAATTCATGACACATGTTGAAAATTTGTTAATGACGTACAAATAACATTATCAATTAAGCTTCAAATGCTTTATTCAGGCTCATTTAGACTTGTGGTATAACAATTGTAGCATCATTGAGTTCATCTTACCAAACATTTACTTCTACAAGTTTATTACAATTAGACCTAGGATGACGCTATATTTGATTCTAAAAATTTTCAATCCTGATATTGCATTGAGATTTATGTTAATTGGATAGATTTTATAGTGGCAAATCAACCATAATCTCTAATCATTATACAAATATTAATGACATTAGCTTATCCAACTTGAAATGCATTTGTTCATAAATAAAAATTTGTTCTCATTTTGACAATAGGTTTTAAAATTTTAGTATAAAAATACATACAAATTTGATGGTATGCAAATAATTATAAAAATTTTGTGAAGATCTTCTATTCCACATAATAATTAATCATATTTAATTTGTTGATTATGTAAAATAGTTGGCCTAAAGTAGTATTCTTATGATTATTCACGGGACAAATTAATGACAAATAATTGTATGCTTAATGTTGCGCCTATTTTTTTAACATTCTTTATATTTGTCCCTTTCAAAATTTTCTTTCCAAAAGGCATCTATTAAAAAAAAAAATTAAGTGAGATTAAAAAAGCAGATGCGAAAATTTCTCATAAAGCGATCCTTGTAATATAATCTTGAGAGGAGCAGTCTGAAGCAATCGAATCATACTGGACCTCAATAAATGTATGATGAAGGTCATATAGAAAGTCTTCACATTCATACTTGAATATATCAAATTTAGTTTATTTTGAGATTGATAAGGCCTCCCACGAAGACATATCCGTGTGTTCAATTACATCCTAAGAGATGCCTAGAAAAACTCTAAATAAAAGGATTATGCTTGCTCTTATGAAACTCATTTAATAGGGTGTCAAAGAAAATTTTTGTCATTTTAGTAGGAGAAACCAGAAATACGACAAGGCCTAAGGGAAGTGTTAACAAGTAGGTAAGAAATTTTTTGACGGGTAGACATAATTTAGTTATGGATTGATTGGTCAATCATCGTCACAAACTATTAAGACTATAAGTCTATCTATTGATGATGATAGTTGAGCCAACATGATCGAGAACTTCTTATCAATAACTCAGGTGGTGTATCGTCTAAAATAATTTGGTTGACATAAAGTCACAAGAAAAAAGACATAAGAGCTTGTGACTCTACTCAGACATAAAAGATAAGAGTATAGCTTATACCTGCAAAGCATAAGACCATGAAGCCTACGTAGTAGAAAATAACTGGTGACCTGGTTCACAAAACCAAATCGCCTCACAAATGACTTATAATCATGCTCAGGTCATGAATGTCTCTGACACCCTAAACGTACTAGACAACCCCCTTAAGCAAGGAGATCATGTTTGGCTAGTCAGATAGAAGAAGTAAAGATAATTCTACATGGGATATGGATATGATGCAGAGTTATCCAGAATCATTATCTAGAATCATAATGTGGATACTCTATTAATATGGACGATCTCAAAGGATCATACAAGAAAAGTAAATTTCTTTTATACTGAAAATTGGTTACTTTTATGTCTAAATTTTATTAACATAAATCTTTTAAAATAAGATTCATGAAAGATATATATTTTATGCTAAGAATCTCTCTGTAGATGCAATCTTGTATAGATCACAATCTGAGAAAGAGAGAAAGGTAACACCTTGTGAAAAAAAAATAAACGCACAAAATAGAAAAAAATAATAAATATCGGGCACCGTTGGGTTGTTAAGATATCCTATAAAAATGAAAATTATGGCCAGACTCTGTTTATACATGTCTAATCTTGTATATATAACAAAATAATCTAGAATTAAGGTATGAGGCAAAGACATATAACTATTGGTCATCTCCATAAGGTCCTCAAGCATGAAGCTCCTCTATGTCTCGTGTAATATATTCTTTCTAGTACAAGCTCAACTGAAGAGTCTAAAATTACATAAATAATTTTAAAAACTTAACCTATAAAGCAAACATTAGCAAATTTATGACATGCAATGTGAAATGAGCCATATCCAACAGTAGGAGAGATTAACAATTTTAGCACCAACAAAAAACATATTATTTATGAGTTTTTTTAGAACTTTTAGTTCCTCTACTTCAGACATGACACCCTGTAGAAGATTGTCCCTACATATATCAGTGCACACGTCTCAAACCTAACAAGCACACACAAGAAGACACCCAATATGAGAAAACTAACATGCAGGCTATATATGAAAAACCTAACTACTCCCTAGCCCTAGTTTAAACAAACACATATAAGGTGTTGCAAATCCAACATCTAGGGTATGACATGAAATGTGGCTAAGGGCACACTCTTAGGATCTTGACAGAGTCACTAAGTCTTGCCTCATTCTAAGTACCTAAGCGAACCAACATAAGTCAAACCAGTGACAAATTCCAATTCACTTCTGTGATTGGAACAATCCTACAATATCTGGTAATAATAAGACAATTCACATTGCCTGCTCAGACAAGCTTGCATGTAATGCTCATTTTTCTATTATCACCACAATTCATTTCTTGAGTTTTTCTAAAGTCTTGACACTACCATGTTACTCGCCAACTTGGATATATATAAAAAGATATGTAGGTTCACCCAAATAAAATGAATCACACGGTGTAAAAAAAATGCACAATATACACAAATCAAGGGTCTTAAGAATTTAACCCCAAAGACGAACACAAAGGTTAATATGCAATGGATATGCCTCACACATCAAATACATGTAACACACAATTGATAATAACAAAAAAATCAAATGGCACAAGACAAAGTGATCATAAAAAAAAGTACTTAAATTAGAGTAACATTACAACATTATAAGCATAGCACTGCAATATCAATTGCCTAATCTTGAGAGAACAAGGGATGGTGTCACGACATTATGGGTGCAACGCCTCTGTGCCAACCACTTGTTTTATCATACATGGTGGTGGATAGTGCCAACATGCTAAACACACAAAATGCACATTTACTCATAATTCATAGCAGGACTCAATCACATACCATAATGTATCACCATGTGGCTTTTTATGGTATACATGAAAAGGATGAGTTTATAGCAACTAAGTTGATCATGAAGAACATACTGTAAACTCAATCGGACTAGGCGAAAGAACGAAAAATGCTACTTCCCCAAGGGGCTGAAACAAACAGTCCGAAGTAAAGAACCTCTAGCTGCCAACCCACATAGGTTAGGATTTTAAAATGTTCACTACAATCAAACCGGACCAATGAACTAGTGGAAAGAATGATGATCACCATCTTTATAAGGAGGTGAAACAATCGATCAAGAGAAGAACATCCCTCACCCCCAACCCATAAGGGCTAAGGCTTGAATCCTTTAACATATCTAAATTTTGTAACAAAGTCACTACACTACGATAAGCATGGTGCATTGACAACTCATCTGCAAGAGATAATATTCTCGAGTAGGACTTGACGTCAAGGCGCGCTACAACGCTAAGCTAAAGAGCGCAACATCATATCTATGTGAGTAGAGATGAAGTGTCAGACTAGTTAAGCTCACAGTCTAAGGCCGCAACACTAAAAATAACTTCATAATTCTATGCTCAGTCGAGCTCACGGCGTAGCGTTGTGACATCAGGATCTACGTCACGATTCTAGGCTAAGCATATACACTGTCTTAGGGTCGCAACACCGGGACCAATGTCATGACTTTAAACCAAATAAACTCACCACTTGTGGCCACGACGCTGCGATACAACCCCTTGATTCCACCACCGCATGATTCACATCAAAATTCAACTCACATGCCACGTAATATGACATATTTTAAATTCAACATATGACATATTTTTACATATTTAATAATTCAATTTAATATTTACTAAAAATATTATTTTATTATTTTAAGATATCAAATATATATTGAAAAAGCTGTATTTAAAGTAAAATTAGTAATTTCGTTAGTGAAATTTAAATTTTAAATGCAATATAAACAAATATTAATATTTATATATAAAAAATACCAATACATTATTTTTTTTTTTTTTGAACTTTAACATAATTTATATAAAAATTTTGAAAACAATATTTTTAGTTGAAACCCTAAGCTCAAATAACCAGTATAAAATGAACTAAATCTATAGGTCGGTAATCGATTTAAAGTCGGCTGTCCAATCCAGTCAAGTCAGAACAGATAATCCCACACAAGGAAAAAAATGAAAAAAATCCCTTTTTTTTTTTTTTTTTTTTTTTCGCTTTGAACACGCACTGCTTAAAATTCGAAAGACGTTATGAATCTTTCAGCACATGCCCCAAAAAATATCTTCTTGCTTCAAACCCGTTCGGCAAACCATTCCAAATTCCAATTAAACGCCATTGATGCTATTCATCTTCTTCCTCCAAACAACCATCCCCCCTTCCACCTCAGTTTCTGAAGAGCCCGGTTCTCATTTCGCCTTCCTCGGTCGACATCTCCCCTCCTCAAAATAAAACTCCTCCCTCCTTCCTCTCCATCCAAGCCCCAACCATGGCCAAAACACCATACCACTCCCTCACACTTTTCCTTACCCTCTCCCTTACCATACTTCTCCTCGTCTACCCTTTGCCCTCAACCTCCTTCTCCATTGGCGTAAACTACGGCGCTCTCGCCGACAACCTCCCACCGCCGGCGCAAGTCGCCGCCTTTCTCAAAGATCGCACCTTCATCGACCGCGTGAAGCTCTTCGACTCCAACCCCGACATGATCCGTGCATTTGCCGGAACCGGTATCGCCCTCACCATCACCGCCCCCAACTCCGACATACTCTCTCTCTCCACCCTCTCCGGCGCCACCACCTGGCTCACCAACAACGTATCCCCTTTCTATCCCGCCACCAACATCTCCCTCATCGCCGTCGGAAACGAAGTCCTCGCTACATCCGATCGCAACCTCATCGCCCACCTCGTCCCCGCCCTCCGTTCCCTCTCCGCCGCCCTCTCCGCCGCCGGATTCCACCAAATCCGAGTCTCCACCCCTCACTCTCTCGGCATCCTCTCCGCCTCCGAGCCCCCTTCCTCCGGCCGCTTCCGCCGCGGTTACGACCGTGTAATCTTTGCCCCAATGCTCGATTTCCACCGCAAATCCAAAACCCCCTTCGTCGTTAACCCCTATCCTTACTTCGGCTACTCTAATCGAACCCTGAATTACGCCCTGTTTAAGCCCAATCCCGGGTTCTTCGACCCGGTGACCCAAATCAACTATACGAACATGTTTGAAGCTCAGATGGACGCCGTTTTCTCGGCGATGAACCGTCTCGGTTACGGCGACGTCGAGATCACCGTCGGCGAGAGCGGATGGCCGTCTGCCGGCGACGCGGGGCAGGTCGGCGTCAACGTTGATGATGCGGCGGCGTATAACGGGGAACTCATACGGCACGTGACCTCCGGTAAAGGTACGCCGTTGATGCCGAATCGGACGTTCGAGACCTATGTTTTCTCCCTATTTAACGAGGACTTGAAGCCGGGGCCCACCGCCGAACGGAATTTCGGGCTTTTTCGGCCGGATTTTACGCCGGTGTACGACGCCGGCGTCCTCCGGGGAGGCGCCCAGGTGAGTGGTTTGATTATTTGGGTTTAGTTCATCGAATTATGACGGAAATGCCACTGCCAGTCGGTTTATTTGGCTTTTATTTGATTCGATCGCTGTACATCTGATCCTCATCAGACGGTTGCCTTCGTAAATCAACGATGTCCTTCCCTTGTCAGACATGCTTCCTTTGTTGAGGTTGCGTGAGGGTTCATTTTTGTTATTTAAAGAAAGTCCAGGACCGATCTCCACCGTACCGTATACGCTCTTTTACATCGACACTGGAGATCTATCGAAAAATTATTCTATACAGACACCTAATGCAGCGCAGCTGATCTCTGCCGTTGATGACCGTAAAGATGTATTTACTCTTTTTTTTAAAAAAAATTAATTACCGTGATCCACAGTAAAAATCCGAATGCATCTCTTCCTGCGTTCTCATAATTTCTCCACATTTAAGCTTCTTTGAAGTCAATGTTTTCATAATTTTGTGCTCATTTTCTTAAAATAATAATTATTTTAATTTATAAAATAATGACTCGCGGTCAGGGAGGTGGGCCCACGCCGGCGCCGACGGGGACAACGGAATGGTGCGTGGCGACCGGCGGTGCGAGCGAGGCGGCTTTACAGGCTAACATTGACTACGCGTGCAGCACAGCGGGAGTGGACTGTGGGCCGATTCAGGCGGGCGGGCCGTGCTTCCAGCCCAATACGGCCCAAGCCCACGCAAACTATGCAATGAACGCCTACTACCAGTTCGCGGGCCGCCACGACTTCAATTGCGACTTCGGCCGGACGGGAGTTATCGTCACCAATGACCCCAGTGAGTATTTCTATATGAATTGGTTTGTAAATGGGCAATTTACACATACACACCACATAACTCTTATATATTTACATATATACCATCTTATGTATGTATGCAAATGTATATTTTCACTTATTTTGCAGCTCATATAAGTTTGAACTTGTGTATTTGTTGTGCTTGGCAGGCAATGGAGATTGCAACTATAGCACGTGAAGGGGATGGTGGTGGGATTTGTTCGATGTTAGCGTCTGTTTTTTTAATTTGGAGTGAAGTTAATTGTAGTAGTGATGTGTTGGTAACGTTGTCTGCTTATAAACATACAAATCTGAATGAATTATTGCTTCTGCGTCACGGTTATGATTGCGGTTTTTTATTCCCTTATAAATTTTATTTGTTTTTTGTTTTATCATATTACTATTATTTTTTTATTATGATGCCATTTTAGCTTGTTGGATGGATGTTTGGGTTGCAATCGAAGGATTTTGGATTCAATGCGTTGAAGGGGTGTAAACAAGTCGAGTCGAGTGAGCTAATGAGGCGAGCTGGGGTTGGCTTGAGCTTGGGTTGTTAGCTCATTGAGCCAGTTCACGGGCCACTTATTGAGTTGAGCCCGAGCTAGATCGGAGTCTTCTTGGCTCACTTACAACCTTAATGCCTTGCATATAGTGTGTGTGCATTTAAGGGTAAATTTGCTATAAAATCTCCAAAAAAAAATGTTTTTAATTACATGGTGTCTAGCACTACTAAACACTCGAACATAAACTTGAGTGTGGAGATTGATTTTATTTAGTTAAAGCATAGTTAAAAATTGAATTAAGACTTAACATTGTCATAAATATAATTAGTATGATATATGTAGCCAATTTTTCTCCTAACAAGTTGGAATGAAAGTTTTAATTTTGAGCTAATCTAAATCTACGAAAGTGCAAGTTGACTTGATCGTACTCACCTCCAAGGACAATGTAATGCTGCACTACTTAACATATTTCGGTAGAATGAATCAGTTAGTTTAGAGTAAGCTAAAAGTCATGCATCTATTTTGTGATCAACTCAAATGATATGAGTTGGTCTTGAATAGCGGTTGAATAAGGTCAAGATTGGATTTGTAATGAACCCTAATAATGGAGGGAATAAGGAAGCGCATTCTCATGGTGGTTCTTGAATTATATTACATAATAGATTGGTCTATGAGAAAAATCTCATCATAATGATAATAAGAGGTTAATGATGGCTATAGTATGCTAGAAATATATTTCTTAAAGTTGATGACATCAACTCTTCATGTTGGAGGCTAAAATATGCACATTTTCGATTGTTTTTTAATGTAGAGAAGTTTGACGACTTGGTGAATTAGCTTGAAAATTACTCTAGTCTTTAGTGGGTATTTCTTTTAAGAGAATGTTTCTTTTGCTCGGTTGAAACTCATTAAACATGTATTGATTTGATGTAGCACTCATGTCTAACATAAGAACTACTGTATTATTTGGGGATGATTTTGGAGGATGCTTACCAGATATTCTACTTTATGGAGTGTAAAAAAATATGAAGAAAGTGGCGTGAGTTACATCAACAACAAGAATATTTCACATCATGATTTGTGCGTCACTAAAAACGTCTTCATTTTAACAACATACATGATAAGTTATTATATAACATTGTAATCGATTTTTGGGAGTCCTCGTCAAAGATCTCATTGAAGCAAGTATGCTTGTTATAATAATTGAGAGAAAGATATTGGTATCAATTTTTGATGTCATGTGCATATGATTTTCACTCGAGCAACCTTAGGGTATGCTTCATGTACATACAACTCTCTAAGGTCCAAGACATCCCGCCTTCGATCCTCTGGCACGTGATCAAGACCATTTTGTTAAGCTTTGGCTCTCGATGAGGCGAGGGATGACAAACATTACATTGACCCCGACTGGATGAGTTTTGTTCGATGCACACGAATAAATCAGACCCTAAATTAGCTTATACATGAGGAATTATCCTTTAGAGGACTCCAGATGGCGGAAAAGACAGCGCGAATGCGTCCGGAACATCGTTTGAGCTTAGGGAGGGCCTTCTCGATCTTGCCATGTGGTTCGGATCACCATAAAACAGGAAACAACGCTAACTAGGTTAGGCTTGACCACACCCAGGGGTGGCCACACCTCTTTTTTGCGTGACCGCGCCACACATAATCACCTATTCCTTTTCCTGGTCTTTGGCTTTATGTCCAGATGCCTTTCGACCACTCGGATAAGCCATTGGACCAACCCTGAGCCAAAAATGATCTCTAAACTAGGGCGCTTGCCAAAAGAGGAAAGTGATCATTCAACTCTTTGTGAATATCTTTCTTGCGCGGGAAGGGGGGGGGGGGGGGGGGTTTGGGGGGGGGAAGGGGGGGGGGGGTGGAGATTTGGAGGGAGCACATTGATTTCACTGGGGAGAGCCAGGATTGATCATAGAGAGCCTTGGAGGGTTTTGGGGAATTCTAGGAGAGATACTTCACCAGGACTCTTCTTCTTCCTCTTCTTTGTTTCTTTCATCTTGTTCCTCTCTCATTTTCATTTACAGTCAATGTCTTGGTCCGAGAAATATGGGGAGAGACAGAGAGCTTGAGGAGTGATTAAAGGAGCATTTGGAGAATTCTCTGAGAGCTTTTTCATTCTTCTTCTTTTTCTTCCTCTCATGTTTTCTTTCTCATCCATTGCCTTGGTCCAATAAACAGAGAGGAAGAGAAAAGCATGATGTTGTGCTGGTGTCAGAAATACTCCTTGCGATGAGAGCTTCATCACCTGAGGGGAGCGGAGGCCGATACTTGGAGTGCAGCCATTTTAATCTCTTTGTAACAAAGAGAGTTTCTCTCGAGCAACGACTGGACTTCGATGAACCACCACGATGGTATAACCTCGTCAAACCTCTCATTTTCTTTCTTAGCTAGCTCTAAGATTAGAATTTGGCTAGGGAGAGCGTCTTCAAGCCACCCCTCCGGAGCGAGCACCTCTGAGACTCCTCTCTGGGGCGAGCATCTACAAGACTCCCCTTCGGGGCGAGCAACTCCAAGACTCCTCTCCGAGGAGAGCAAATCCAAGACTTTCTTACGGGGCGAGCAACATTAAGCCTCACCTTTGGGGCGAGCAACTTTAAGACTCCCCTCCGTGAAAAACATCTTCAAGACTCTCCTCGGGGCAAGTAGCTCTAAGACTCCCCTTTGGGTCGTGCATTTTCAAGATTTCTTCTGGGGTGAGCAACTCTAAGACTCCCATCTAGGGTGAGCAACTCTCAGAATCCCCTCTGGGCCAAGCATCTTCAAGGCTCACGTCAGGGGCAAGCAACTCTAAGACTCCTCTCCGGAACAAGCATCTTCAATACTCCCGCCCCCTAGGCAAGCAACTCTAAGACTCTCCTATGGTGTGAGAAACTCTTAAGACTCCCCTCAAGGGAGATCATATTCAAGACTTTCCTCTGGGGCGAGCAATTCCACGTCTCTCCTCTAGAGTGAGCAACTCTAAGACTCCCCTCCGCGACGAGCAATTTCAAGACTCCGCTTAGGGTGAGCTTCTGCGCCTAAGACTCTTATTCTGACGATCAACTCTTCCTCTGACAACCGTCTTTTCCTTCGACCAGCCACCATAACCCGAAAACTTCCTTCCGATAAATAAAAAAAACTTTAGAATGACAAATTCAACAAATGAAGACAAATATACCAAAATCAAGTGCAAAAAGCACCCTACCAAGGGGTATTATTAGCAAGTTTTATGTTCAAGATTTATTTGATTTATAAATTTCTTTGTTTTTATTGCAGTTGTCGTTATGAAGGAGCAAAAAAATTGAGAAACTTAATATGTGCTCTTAAAAATGGTTTGCACGGATCTTGAGGTTATCTGACGGTCCAACATAAAGGGACTAGAATGCCCTTTGCTCTCATCTTTAAAATAATGCTAAATATGTAATATGTAAATATATTATATATATAGGAGACCTTCGACATCCCTCACATGTAACATATATTTTTGATAAAATAAAATGGGTTCACGAGCCCTGAAACATCCTATTTCTACTATTCCTTGCACGATCCCCCAAACATTCTTGGATTCAACAATAAATTTTGCAAAAAACAAAGAAATAAGGAGAAGAACTAAGAAAAATAGAAGAATTAACAAGCCATTCTAATTATTTATATTTCAGGGCACTTTTTATGTTGAAATCTCGGCGTTACTTTGTCAGTGATAACATAATGAATTAATTATTCAATATACCAAAAAGAAACGAGAATGTATAAATGGTTAATTCCTCACCTATAAAAAAGAGTTCTTAAAGAAGAATTGAGAGGTGAGTTTTCCCCTCCCCCACAGGCATAATTATACATGAAAATAATTATTTATCCATAAAAATAAATAAATATTTAAATTATTTTTGCAAAAAAAATCATACCAGCCATTTAAATATTATTATTTAATGAAAATATTTCCTATTTTTATTAAAGATTGATTTAGATCGCTAGCTGTCGTGCCGACCATCTCAACCTACTTCAAGCCTAATTTTAAGCTCAAATATTTATTTTATAATTTTTTTATATTACATTTAATTTTAATACTTTTGAAGCCCAAAAAATATTTTTATAGTTAATTTCAAGCAAAATAATGAGTTTAGAGCAGAAATTTTCAATAGAATTTATTATAATAAATAATTATAAAATTCATAAAAAACTATTTTAAATACTAACATTAAAAGTTAAAAAAAAAAGATAAAAAAGTACAAGCATGCTTAGCATTACTAATTTTTCAAATTACTTGCTTCTAATTTCCACAGATGTAGGAGGCGGCTCAAACCATCTCGTCTGTATTTACCCATCCACCGGCCATTCCACGCCACCAGCAAGTGTTCTGCTTTCGGTTCCCATTTTCTGTACCAACTTCTTCTTCGCCGTGGTGCGCCGCCGAGCATCTCGGATTCTTCCCGGAGCTCATGCCCTATTTTAGTCCGCTTCAGTGAAAAAACAGCTCTTTTATATTTTATTCGAGCAGATATTATAATTCAGTAGAGCAGTTTCGGACGAATCCTCTGTGATCTTCTTTTCTCTTTGATCTATTTAAGAAATAGATGTAGCTTTTGGTCTTTTGTAATGACTTTGATTACGCTACTTTTCTTTGTTTGATGCGAGAAAACCCTTCTGGGTGTTCGGATATGCTTGCTGGGATCAGTACCATTGCCTGTGAGTGCTAGTTCTTGCTTGATTTCTAGGGTTTATGAATTTCATGCTTAATTTGCTCTGTTTGTTGTCATCCTGGATTGAATTTGCGCTTTGGGACTTGTGATTTCTCGAAACTAGAACTGTATTTAAAAAAAAAAAAAAGCATTTTGTATACGCTTGAATAATCAAACCAGTATTTTGAACTTATTCATTAATCCTGCTGCAGGATTTAAAGTAGCGAATTATCAGTCTCCTATTAAGCTTTTAGCGGCGCTCATAGATTTTGAGTTATGTTGATTTCCAGTACGTGGATTCAAACCTCAAACTCCAATGGCATGCTGGGCTCTCCACTGGTTTCCTCTAGCAGCAGCTTTCAAAAGCCAGTTTCTTATTTACTAACAAAATCTTCAAGAAGTATAGTTCAGATAAAGGCAAGGGTCGTAGATGGAAGCCAAAATCATCCTCCTTCGAAGAGAAGGAACCCCCTTGTTGCCGTTCTTGAAGTCCCACAAGTTATATGGAGGCAAACATTGCAGCCACTGAGTAATTTTGGGTTTGGTCAGAAGAGCATTTGGGAAGGTGGTGTTGGGCTATTTGTTGTTTCTGGTGTGGCTCTTGTTGCTCTTAGTCTTGCTTGGTTGAGGGGCTTTCATCTAAGCTCACAGTTGAGGAAATATCAAGCAGTATTTGAGTTCTCGCAAGCTTGTGGACTCTGCGTTGGAACACCAGTTAGGATAAGAGGTGTGACTGTTGGGAAGGTTGTTCATGTCAATTCTTCTTTAAAAAGCATTGATGCGGTCGTCGAGGTACTTATTTTAACCAACTTTCTTTGGGCATGAGATCTTATTAGTAATTTAGGGGATGGTTAGTTAGTTGACATCTATAATGTTTGTTGTGCTATTAGCTGATGTTAACTATTTTGGTTTGTTGGCATCTTTAAGCAAAGTAAAAAAAAATCTAAATGACATCTATGTTCTATTTTGATGAAATCTTGATGTTAGCTAAAAATGCTGGCATCTAGATGTTAGGCTATTTAATCGCTAAGATAAATGAATACAAAAGAAAAATCAAAATCATATTGCGTTGTTAAGTACGAAAACATTAAACCAAACACTGAATTTGATTGAGGAGCATCATATAAACAACAATATTATTTGGATGACACTTTTAAATAAAATCGAAACTGCTATCATATCTAAGTTATCAAATAAAATATTAGTTTATAGGGATAATTAAATACATAGCACCTGAAACATTACTGTTACAAAATCTAGCATCTAGGTGATATTTTTGAAGTACCGAACTAATGTATTTTCGCGTACCACGATTAAACCTGCCTGCCTTTATCAACCTTGTTGAGATAGCATGCAACCTGTTTGACTAAATGCCTTGTAGTTATAATTTTGGGGCCTTCCTTTGGGAAGCCCTCATCTGTAGCTATTCAGGTCTTTATTTCTATTTTCTAACTTGGATCATTCTTACTATTGATCACGCCCAATCTCAACTGCCATCCCTTTAGTAGTTCGTAAAAAAATGTTTTTTATTTTCTAGCAATTCTTGCACTAGTGGCTTTTGTCTTCATTTCGTTGTTGCTCTCTATTAATAGTCAAAGTTGTCACTCTTCATTGACTCTCTCTGACGATACTTTTCACAATATTTATTATTGATGCGTACAATTGAGGATCTTATTTGTTCCTTTCTGACATGGATCTTGTTGCTGATATTTTCATATGATTCACACTACTATTTGATAAATTTTTTGCACTTCCCTTGTGAAAACAAAAACCTTTGGGCTCCAAATTTTTTCCAATTATGCCATTTTTCTTCACAAATTTTCTTAAAATCAAGTTGAAATCTTTTATGCAATATTGAGTTTGCAGGAGAGTGTTATCATATCTAAATCAACACATTATCTAAACTATTTATAGTAGGGATCTACACTATCATTTATTTGTAATATTGTCATTTTTTGAAGATATTATCCTTATTGTTCTCTTCTCTTACCTATATATCAGTGTATATATGCTTATGTTAGGAGCATAACTTGGTAAAGATGTAGTCCTTATGGTTCTGTTTTTTTTTTTACACAAACAATTAACCGTTTAATGTTTCTTGTGGGGTCATTAGTTAGTAGCAAAGCAACTTCGTTATTTCTTCCTGAACGTTGAATGTATTGATTGCTATTTCATTAGTTGCACACATAATGTCTTGTTTTGTTCTTCTTTTTTTCTTTAAACCAATTCCTTCATCATTATCATCATTATCGTTAGTTTTTTCTCAATCATTTGTTTAGGTTCTCTCTAGCAATTATCCTATTTTTTGTCAATTTTTTTATTTTGATAAGTTTGTTTTGATGAACATAAGTATACTATACAAAAATATGACAATTTGTTTCCATGGTGTAATTTATGGCTAGGGTAAATAACTTATTAATATAAAAAATTATTTGAAGATATATTACAAATACAACTAAATTCCATTTCTTGCTTGCACAGGCGGAGCTATAGTGGGGACACTGGGGCCCGTACCCTAACAGCCTGATCAATAACATATATTATGTTGTTCCTTTATCTTAATAATTAATGGTGATGGTGCAAATACGTAATTGTTTATTAGAAATTAAGAAATGAGATAATCAATTTAACTTTAGAAATTAGTTTTTTTTTTAATTTTAGAAGCTCTTTCAGTAAATAGAAAAATTCAACTAGCTAAGTTTGCACATCTACACCAGTCCAACTGCAAATATTTTGTGCCTTTCCCTTTAAACTGAAACTCGTGGTTTTGGGGGCATTTGCAATATAGTACCCAATTCTTATGTATTTAAGTTTATAACATTTAAATATTAAACTTTATTTTTAACATTTAGTCCATCTAAATCTTTCGCTAAAAAGTGTATATTAATTTTTGAAGCTTAAATATTAAAATTTGAAATTAATTTTTAGTTGATTTTTTTAAATTTGTAATTGTTTAGTTAATAATATAAAAATAATTTAATTTTATATTAAATTTTAAATCACAAAAATTGTCATATATTTTTACTACAATTAGTCAGGATATTATAATATAATTTTTTACTATATTTGATTAGTTTTAAATTTTTTAAAAATAAATTAATAAACATATAATTATCAAAATAATAATTTTGTGGAGATTATAAAATTAATTAATAAATCAAAATCTATATTGTATTTATGCAATTTTTTCTATTGAAATTATCAAAATATGTAACTTTATTTAGATTTGATGAAATTGATTGAGGATATTTTTAAAGTTGGTAGTTTGTGCCCCCACTAAAATAATTTTTTGGCTCTATCCCTGCTTAATTGTAAATGTTGCTATAGCATGGAATTATAAAGATAATCTTAGTAATTAACATTCAAAATTTTGTGGATTGTTTGTAAATATATTGGGAGATGTGATAAATATGTCATATGTACAATCTTATTCACCCATAATACTTTGATTGACTTGACACTACACAATTTAACATAGATACAATTACAAACTACAACTTAAATTCAACAACCCAAATAAAATGGCTTTGCTAAATATTTGTTCATGTAGCAATGCATTAAGCAACTTGATAGAACTTGCTATAAAAAAAGTATTGTAATGCATGAATTTATATTTTATATTCAATAAGGAACTTATATTTATTAAAGTACAAATGAATACATTGGGATATGCAACATAAGTAATAAAAGATATATAATTTATTATATAATAGCAGCGTGATAAGACAATCTAATCATCATGTTAGCATAAATGTTCATGATTACTTATATATATATATATATATATATATATATAACTT